CAGGTATATAATATTTTATAAATATCTCTCATTATACATATATAATATACATAATACTAGATATTTGTATAAAAGATTAGTTTTCTTGACAATGACATTTGCAATAAAAGAAAAAAACAAAACAAAAACTGCAAATGCATGTATGGAATAGTTTTAGGCATTACTTATATATTTATGGTTTTATTAAAATCATAGAACACATTATAGATTATAATCCCTATTATACAGTTTAAAATGTTGCACCATTAGAAAATGAAAATATGGCAGTGTATAACTTGCACTCAAACTGTGTTTACTATGAATAAATTCTGTACAATATATTTTGTATGTACAATGTATATATGAATAAGTTTTCTCTTTGGCGAAGAGAGCGGAATTCAACTGTTTCTTTTAAATACATCTGCCAAAATGGCTGTAAAATATGAGGTAACAAATGAAACAATAAATATAACAACAATTATAAATTAAGTATAATGTATATGATTGTAAAATAAGATTATTGTGTCTGTCCTTTGTACTAATGTTAATGTGATGTGTTCATTAATTGTACATGCGTTTTATGTTGTCAATCAAACCAATTATTGGTAACCATTTGAAATTCTATATGACCTTTCATTATCAAGAAAAACTAATTCTTATAACAATATTTGCCGATTCTATTTTGAATTCAATATTTCATTTCTAGCTTGTGTCATGATATCGAGAGCATTTTTTTTTATAAGGCACTTTGCTAGGTCTTTCCCAAGTTGTTCAGCACCCATTAAACTTATACTGCTAACTTTACCAGGTGCTACGCTACAATATAGTTGCGGTTCCCGATATGGACATTTCCTGTAACATAAATGAAGTAAATATTGTGTTAGTAAATAAATTTGTTTAGCTAAATTTTATTTAAATATTTAAATTTGTATTACCCACCGTGGAGGTTTACCATCATCATCAGGTATATAAAGTTTACTTTTCAAAGTATCCTTGATCAGTTCTTGCCCATCTAAAGACCACACTGCACCGGTAATAGTAAGCTCTTTGTCCTTTAACATTGAAGAAACTGCAACTGGTGCAGAACATCCACCACCTAATGTTTTTAAGAAGGAACGTTCGCATACACATCTTAATGTTGTTTCTACATCATACAGTGGCTCCAAAAGGGGCAATAATTTCCAATCTGATTCCCGACATTCAACTCCTAATGCACCTTGCCCTACAGCGTACAATGCTTCCTCTGGCTCTAATAACTGTAAAATATTATAAAAATACAACCAACATTATAAAGAGTTATTACAATGTGAAATCCTTTGTGATACACCTGACCTTCGATCTACACAAATGAAAATTGTGTAAATAGAGTCTGTCGGTACAAAAGAAAGCAAAATATTGAAAGGAAAAGCTGATATAAGTTTTAAAAATACATATTTATTTCATATAGTTAAACAAAAGAAATAATAATAATGACGTTTCAGAAAATAAAAGTACATTTTATCTGGTGTTACTAAATTCAGATCGCGCATAGAAACTACCACGTAAAGAATGTTTTAATTTACCGTATAAAAAAGAAACGCATAAATTGAGAGCCGAGTGTATATCTATGCTAAGAGGAAGTCCCTACTTAATTCTACAAAACTGTAGAATACTGATGAGATGCAGGGTATGTAAGGTAATGGTTGCATATGGAATTATGTTAAAAATTACCTGACTTATTCTATCTTCCCAATTCATTCTTTTCAACCCAGCAGCTGCCAAAATAATAGCTGCATAGGGTCCATCCTCATCATCCAATTTTTTTAATCTAGTATTTAAATTACCACGAATATTCTCTACTTTTAAATGTGGCATATTCCTAGCTAATTGAGCTGATCTACGCAACGAACTGGTACCAATTACACTACCTTCAGGTAATGTAGATAATGTTTTGCCTTTATATTTCTTAGACATAACAACAGCATCTCGTGGATCTTCACGCCTGTAATACATTTTTTCTTACAACGTATGCAATATATAAATAATAATTAAAAACTCATATTTTAATTAAAAAATTGTACAAAAAGGAATTTAATTAAATCTAATAAATCTACTTCTTTTTTCTAAATTTAGATAGACATCACAATGTCCAGAGTAGTAGTACATTCAAGAGTTACTGCGCAAACAACAAGTCTACTGTGCTGCCAGTATCATGTTTTTTTCATGAACATGATAATTTCATTGAAAATTTAAATTTCAGATATTTAGACCAACATTTTGAAGTACCAAAGCATGAGCAGCATATCGAATTCTACTACGTCAATTGCATTAATTTAATACTTACTTTAATATTGCACCTAAAGCCATTCCCTCTGGCAATAATGTAGGTAAATCTTTTAAAGAATGCACTACAAAATCCACACGGCCATTTTCTAGAGCCAGCTCCAATTCTTCTGTAAATAAAGACTTCTCTCCAATTTTTGGTAAAGACTTGTCCAAGATTTTATCTCCTTTGGTAGACATTGTGACTATAATATATAGCATTCATATTCAAATATAGATGTTTTATAAAAGTAACATATGTATATAAACTACTTATGTAAGTGCACAAATACATTTTTGCACATATTATAATTTATGAATTATATCAAACTTCGAAAGCGCATAACAATTGTAATGAACTTTCCAAATAATATTTAGCATTAGGTAAAAGAAGATAACAAAATTAAATTTAAATATATAATATTCACATACCTATTTCGAATTCTTTTTTCGGATGATATTCTTTTAAACATTTTATAACGTATCTAGTCTGAATCAAGGCCAACTGAAATAATTAATACTGTATGTTATATAAAATCATAAAATTTGTCTATTAAAATATTATACAATAATCCGGTTTTGAAAAAAGAAAAGTAATGTTTCAAAATCTGTTAAAAGAACATTTTATTCTATAAAAACCAATGATACTTTTCAAATATTCAACTAGTAAATGATTTACCGACACCGTCTGATTAAGAAATGCTGAGTAATTGAGAGTTGAAAAGAAACATTAATTACAACATTCTTTGAATCATGCATTATAATTTTACAATCTACAAATAGAACGTCATTTCATATTTCATTGAGGGAATTTGAAAGAAAATAGCAATATTTTCCCAAAGATTTAAGAAAAATATTTTCTTTACATCTTATTCGTTTCCAAGATTAATATTGGTATGTTTATCTATTCAATATTATTATTATCATCATCATCTTCCCGATCAAGGAACGCATAAATCGTTGATGATTACATTATGGAAGAAACAGCACGGAGACGGGGAAAAAAAATAGACTTTCACCTTCTTAAAACAAGAATAATATTTGTACAATCTACCTCGCTTTTCCGAGATCCAACTCGGATTACGTCACGTTTGTCCGCACTCGTCATCACAGCAATTTAAATTTTTATTTCACTCGCGTACTGACTGCAATATGCTATTCTGTGCGACTATTATTATATAAGGAATTTATCCTATTTTGGAATGTACATTATTTCTTAAAGACACGAAGAACTAAATTAGGTCAAAGACACGACGAACAACTTTCATTTCACTTGTACGTAACCCTCCAACACGTTCGCGACAACTTTAATGCATTACTGGATTTATAACAGTTGAATGGCAATTGGGAGATTATTTCACAGTTACTGACACTGCAGCAGAACGTGAAATTAATTAAAATGATGGATATGATAGATTCTACATCCTTCTTTGTGTCATTTTTTCGTTAACACAAAACAATTCGGAGCTCACAAACCGACCACTGCCGAATGACTGAACTATACGCAAAGCACCATACCAATAGCGCTTCAGGCGGATGTCAATTGAAGACAAGTATAGCTTAAATGCTCTTGAATGCGCATGCCAATTGAAATATAGCAGACACTATATACTGCTGCATTCGATTAAATAACATATCAGAAAATTCTTTTGAAATATTACTTGTAGAAATTTTACACTATATCAGTAAATACTTGATTCTTTTACTGTGTCTAGAAATTGAATTATTACTTGTAACCAGAAACTTACATACTTCTGGAGTATTTAAACTAAAGAAACAGTAATCTGAATTTATTTACAATCTTCACATTCTTTATTGAAGATGTTTAACAAAAAAAGTTACATATTGTATAATTGATGTATAATCTTTATTTGTAAATTATTGCTTTCAGTATTTAAAAATAAATACACAACATGTAACTAAGAGCTTAAAATGCTTACATATATACAATTAATTATATTGGTCGATTTTTAGTATATATAAATTAAGATATGATATAAAACACTTCTTCGTATTTTATTACAGCCTCAATAAATATAAAATGTAATTTTAAAGTATATTTTTTTACATGAATTTTTCCATTACATTATATGTGCAATAAATACCAAACTTTTTTTTAGGAATAAGTTCTATACAAAATTTTAAGTAGAAGGACAGTTGTATTTCATCATCATATGAGCAGAAATAAATTAAAAACTTTAAAGTAGTGTGTTTTACTATATTGACTAGCTTTCAAAGTATTTTGAATACCAACTAAATAATAATAAAGTCAATTATAATACTTCAACTTTTCGGAAAGCATGAAAGTAGCATTATATAAATTATAAATAAAATATACTAGTATATATGTATAATGTTTGCATGTATAGTATGTATTGCAGTCTTAAATTATATATATAAATAGCGATTAGAATACATTAAAAATATACAAACTCAGTACATATCCCTCTATGTACCTGAAAACATTTCTATTAACTAGTTTGTTTTAATATAGATGCCATCCGTGCAGTACTTTTTAATTAAAAGCTTGTACATATTATTGAATGCATTAAAAAGAACATTAAAATAGTTACACAATAGTGCCACTTTTATAACATCTTTATAACAATTTAAAGCGGAACTCAATATTATTGCAATTAAAAAGCAATTTTTAATTTACTATTCGTACATTAAAGAGTTTATTGCAGTATACAACCACTTTCATTTTTAGGATCTTTTGTACTGTGATGAATTGCATCCTCTTTAACAGGTGGTAAATTTTGTTCTTTTTCTGTTGTGGCAGGAGTTAAGCCACATAATTTATTGTATACATCTAAATTCCATAGAGGATGATGAGACTGCATTTCAAAGTCAATAGGACTCACCAAACCAAAAGTAGCTTTTGTGTTTAACACTGGTACTTCTCCCGGTATTGTGTGATGATAACTTTTAAATAAAAATGAACAAATGTAATCACTGAATAAAATGTTTTTCTAAAACTATACTTGTTTTTTCTTAATCAAATATATAGACTACTTACATTAAACCGTTCTCTCGATTACATTTATCAAGAGTAAGTTTCACAACAGGAGCTAATCTTTTGAATACAGTATGTTGATCAGGTTTCACTCTATGGGCAGGTCCTTTTGTTTTTCCATATTCTTGGCATAAGATGGTTGCTTTTTTCAAACAAACTTCACTTTCTTGCAAAGCTCTAATTGCTTCTCCACATTTATCCATGGCCAATAAATTTTCTCCACAATAATTATAGGCCTAAAGAAATTAATCTTCCAATAAATTAATACTTCATTAATTAGAATTTATTCACTCACATAAGACCGATAAAATGCTGCTTTGAGTTCTAAGTATTTAATCCACTGGGCCGATATTTCTGGTTTAAACGAACGTAAAATATTAGCAGCATCCATAAATAATTTACTTGTTTCATTGGCCAAAGCTGATATTAAGCTAGCATTGTGCTTTAATTCCACTGCCCTTGCTACTGTAACTGTAATACAATACAAATAAAAATGTGTATACATTAGAAAGTACAAATGTAAATTACTTGGTAATACATAACAAGCAATATAAAATATTTAACCTTCCTGCGCTTCTGCTGTACATTGATTTACATATGCAATTAGTATGCGTGAATCTAAATCGCTTCCAATTGGTGGTGGATTTGCTAATTTTGGTAAGAATTCTGTTTGCACAAAAGTAAATATTCCTGCTGCTCGTCGAAGCATTGTATGTACATCCTTCGCTTCATTCATGCTTATGCTAAATTATAATATTACTATATAATATTGTTTAAAGTAGTATCTATTCATATTTTTAACCCTTTTAGTGCCGAGCGCCAAATGGGTACCTATGCGAAGATAACCGGACGAATTTGACGATTTTACTAAGGTTTGGGAAAAAACACAGAAAACCAAACTAAGAATGATATTTAAAAAATTCAAAATGCAGTGTATTACGGAAAAAAGGAAAAATAATATAATGCCAATTGTATTTCAATAGTTACTGAAAATCACACAAGTAACACTAATATAAAACATAACAAAAAACATAAAAACAAGTTTCTCGTCTACAAACAATATTTGCACATAAGAATAGTCATCATTTGATCACAGTTTTATGTAGATCACGTAGCATGAAGTATGATGCACGGCGTGGCATACGAGCTCTCAGATAACTATCAGAAATATTGCGATTATGGTCCCAAGAAACTGTCCAGTGTCGAATTTCTACCTTATCACTCTAGCATATACAGAGTCTCGGCACCAACCAGCATAAAATATAACAAAAAGTTAAACCCAAAACAATTTTTTATATTCTTTTGCAATGAAAATAGACCATTTATAACGTTTTATAAATTTATTTTGAGATAAAGCTTTCTCGCAATGCGAAGAATAAGGTGCCATTACACGTGCAACGATATATCGTCGCTGGCATTAAAAGGGTTAAACGCCATATTATACATTTAATACTTACTCATCTTTTGCAGCAATCATTGCAGCATGTTTCATAAACCAAAGTCCCACATTAACACTCATATTAGCTGCTTCATAAACAGCGTCAGCTCTAGAACTTAATCAAAGAGAACTTAGTTATACAATAATATGAAATATGTAAATTGCATAGACAAGCGTTTTAAGACTTTCATATAATCATAAGTTTTAATAACATCATATATTAAAAAGAAACTATGTAAATATAATAAACATATTACTAAGTATTTGCTCCTAATAATGTATGAGTCCACTTATATACAAGCACATTTCTAAGTTTACTAGGGTTTGGCCATCCAACATGTTGATCTTGTTCTGCAGATGAATTTATTTCCCATATAAATCCATACAATAAACTTAAATAACTATGAAAAGCTGGTTCTATAGTATCACTTGAATTATTGGGATTTTTTATCAAATCTAACAGACGAGTTCTTGACAATTTTAAATCACTGAAAAATAAAAAAGTCAAATATTCATATTAAATATGAAATATAACATAGAAACAGTTTATTGTTTATATTTGTATTATCAAAAATGTACAGATTATAAAATTATAATATTTAAAATATATATTCATCTTATGGAGCATAACTGCGTTTAATTTATTATACTAATTAATGTCTAACCTGCATAGCTTTCTTGTGGCATCAGTAGCATTAGGTATTTTAAATTCAAATTTTTGATCTGTCGTTGCTTTTAACATGTTACGATGAAACCAGTGTGCCATTTTGGGAAAGTTTTAATAATAAATTGTTCCTCTTAATAATATCTAATTACTTTACCTTCTTCAGTTTGACAGATAAAGTGAAATCAAGGTAAAATAGTAACGTAACACCACTACACTCAACGGAAGATATTCCACTTTTTGGTGAGATATGAGTATCACGCAGTTATTCTCACACTTGCGTTTGGTGTGTAAGCGTGTGATCAGGAGGCAATTGTTGTTGTTCAATAAACCACAAAAGGTAAGAATGAAAAAAACTGGCTATCTAGTATTTTATATTCAAAAGTAATTAATTAATTTATGTGACTACTGATATAACACTTCTATTATTATAAAATTCCATATTTTTTAAGTCTAACCTATGTAATTCTAGTAAAAGGTACTGTGTTAAAATAAAATTACTTTTTACTATTAATATAGTGTTTATGCTTTTCAATTATTACAATGTATTCCGTTAATAATATTTTTAATCCACCAACTTAATATAAAATTATTATCAGAATCAATGTCCTTGAATGAAAATGATAGTTTATCTACAAATCAATTAAGTTACATTATATTGAAGAATTATTAAATTATCATTATATATTTTTATCATTATCAAATTCAATTGATAAATAGTTTCTATAAAAATCTTAATATTATTTATAATTAAAGTTATTTTCAATGTTATAATTAAATAGTGTTATAACATTTATTAAAAATTTTTTAATATTTGTTTCAGATGGGTGAACCTTCAGGTTTAACAAATAGTGAAGTACATGAACTTTGCAAAGAGCCTGACCCTGCAACAAATGGATACATTATGCAGCAAACAATGTATCGTATTAAAGATCCAAGGAAATCATTACCCTTTTATACTGAAGTACTTGGTATGCGTTTATTACAGAAACTTGATTTTCCTGAAATGAAATTCTCTTTATATTTTATGGGATATGAAAATGAAAAGGATATTCCAACTGATAGAAGAGAATCTATTGAATGGACATTCAGTCGTAAAGCTACCATAGAACTTACTCAGTTCGTTGAGATATAACTACTTATGTTGCTTACTACTATAATAGTGTTTAATTGAATAATTTTAAGAGGAACAAACTTTTTCTTTTCCTTTAGTAACTGGGGTACTGAAACTGATCCTGATGCTCAATACCATAATGGAAACTCCGAACCACGGGGATTTGGTAATACATTTTAAATATTATTTAGCAAACGAGTAGAATAACTATTTTATATTTATTCATTAAATAAAAGTAAAATTAATATTTTCTTTTAATTTGCAGGCCACATTGGAATCACAGTACCTGACGTTGATAAAGCATGTGAAAGATTTGAGAAATTAAATGTAGAGTTTGTGAAGAAGCCTAATGATGGTAAAATGAAGGGACTGGCCTTTATTAAAGATCCTGATGGTTACTGGATTGAAATTCTGAATCCAACTAATGTTGCAAATACAGCTCTAAATCATTAATGTATTATACAGGAAGTAATTTCTTTGAGTATTGTCCCATGTATCAATTTTATTAAACACTCAATAATGAAAAGTAAAAACCAAACTATTTATACATATATATGTATGTATACACGATGTATATATACATGTATGTATATATATTAAGAATGTAATTATTAATAGGTATACTATATTTTTTAGCATCTGTACATTCTTGTATTACATCGTGTTATATATGTAATTTATGTACAATGTAATATCTACATGATTTTTGGTAAATAAAATCAAAATATTTATTTTTCAATTTCCATTTATTTAATGAAAATGCATTTTTATTTATTTATAATTTATTTATAGTTGTGCTTATTTATAGCAACTTTTTTCAACTGTATTTTATTTCCATTATTTATTTTCTCTACAAAGTTTTAGTCAATAGAAAGAAAGTATAGGATACTATTGCTTGATCACTTTATATATACTTACGTATCACAAGTAAGTATGTATGCGTATACAAATACAGATGAAGATCATGAGCACTATTCTATGAATAGTGGAGTATCTTGTACTACAGAGCTCCTAGGTGTTTTTACAGTACACAACAGAGAAATGTCATATTGCCGTATATGACTTTTAATTTTGATATAATCATGTTTGTGTAAACGTTTGTATTTATTACAAGTATTACCTGCAATAATACCACGTGACAGCTATATTCTGCTTGAAGCATTAATATTTCGTTTTGTCTTGTTATTTTCAATGACCATCTACTATATTGAGGTTAGATTTCAGACCGCAATGCGAAGTACACATACTTACTGATTATTTATAAAAAGCGTTATAATACAAATAATATAGTCACATTTAATAACATGATTTTTACACTATTTGTAAAATAGAAAAAGTATTTGTTAAAAACAAATTTCATTACAGATATCATAAAAATCTTTCTTTTTTAGTATGGTAGAAGACAAAAAATATGAAATTGGTAGCAGAATTGACTGTGATGGACAGAAAGGCACATTAAAATATGTTGGTCCCGTTGGAAATACAAAGGGTCAGTGGCTTGGTATTGATTGGGATGATCCTACTCGTGGAAAACACAATGGCACATACGAAGGAATAGAATATTTTAAAGCTAGGTAAAATGGTAAAATAATGTTACATGGTCTTATGAAGCAATTAAATAAGCATAATGTTTTGTATGTTTTGCGATAGGCATCCTACATCAGGTTCATTTATACGCCCAGGTAAAGCAAAATTTGGAATCTCTTGTCCACAAGCAATTAAGATACGGTATGGTCTTATCAATGATGAATTAGCGGGCATTGATAGAGACACATTAATGAGTTTACAAAAGGAAATTAATGCACCATTCTTGGAAGTTGTTGGTTTCTCCAAAGTAAATAGGAAGCAAAGTAAATTTGACCAGTTAAAAATAGTATGGCTCAGAGATCAATACGTTAGTGATGCTGGTAATCCTGGTGAATTAGAAGAATTGTGTTCAAATTTGGAAGAGTTAGATATATCTAGAAATTTAATTAATAGCTGGAGAATTGTAGGAGATATCTGTTGTCAACTTCATTCTCTTAAACGTCTGAATGTCAGGTAAATTAATTAAATTTGTCAGTAGTCATATTAGCTATTGTTTTTTATTTATTATTTTATTCTAGTGAAAATTATTTACCAGTTGAAGAAAATATGGAAGCGTTAAGTAATTCATTTCTAATCGTTGAACATTTAACCATGGCAAGAATGAATTACAATTGGTTTGATATTCAACAATGTATGTGTATGTTCCCATCAATTCAAGAAATTTCAATTTCTTTTAACATGGTCAGCATTATACAGAAACCATTAGAAAACGAAAACTTGATGAAAATATTTAGTTTAACACTCGAAGGAAATTTGATATCTAGTTGGGATGAAATCCTTAAATTGGGTTCACTTCCACGGCAAGTTATAATTGCTTTAGCTACATACAGTTAATTATAACTTTTTTTTAATGATATTTATCAGTCTGCTATGAAGAGTTATAGCGATGGAAGATCTTTTATTGAAAAGTTTCATTTTACAGCTTAGAATACCTCAATTTAAATTTAAATAAAATAGACAAAATAAGATTTCCATCTGTTGAACCAACAGCAAAAACTCCAGCCTTTTCAGCTTTACGACAATTACATCTATCGCAAAATAGAATATCAGAGGTATATACATATATATTTCTTTTATAAATGAATAATTTTCAAACAAATTTTAACTTCATTAAAACTTACAGTGGAAATCAATATCCGAATTAGAGAAGCTTCATAATTTAGAAGAGCTGAAATTCAGGGAAAATCCAATTTTAAAAGACGAAAATTTAGAAACAGCACGTCAGTTAATAATAGCGAGGATTTCCAAATTGAAAATTTTAAACGGCACTGAAATAGCGCAGGATGAAAGACGAGGTGCTGAATACGATTATTTAAAATTACATTTACCAAAATGGAATGAAACTGAAAATAATCTTGAGAAAAGAAATGAATTTATAGTTGAACATCCTCGGTATTTGTCATTAGTTGCGAGTACGTAAACATAATAATATCAAAATTTTAATTCTACGGATAAGTATTATGTGTTGTTAAACTTATTTCTAGAATATGGAATTTCTGATATCCCATCAGCTAAACCAAAAGTGGAAATGGTTTCTAATGTTATCACGGTAGAATTTTTATGTCCAGATCATCCAAATCAACCTAGAGGAATTAAAAGAAAACTTTTAAAAGACATGGAAGTTCAAAAAGTTATTGGACTTGCACAACGACTTTTCAGAACAGGAGGAAAAATACCTTCTCTCTCGTTTGTACAACATAATGTAAGTTTAAGATACATTTTTATAGAATATATTTGCAATACATAATTTTTATATTTTTTTGTAGCTGTCTAAAGATGAAATTCTTTTGGATAAACCACTTCAAGAATTGAGCTATTACTCAATACAAGATGGAGATCAAGTTCTTGTGAGGTGGTGATACAAAATGAATTGTTCATAGATATAATTGTATTTTGTACACTGTTAAAATTTCACCATCATACTTTGTTATTAAACTTTTTTAATGGCACAAGTATATTTTTTAAATCCTGTTAATAATTTGTTATTTACTACTGCTTCTGACCAATATTTATTTTTGTAACTTGAAAGAGTTCTGTATTTACAAGAAAATTATTTTATACTGCAATACTTATGAAAAGATATTTATATTCTACATTCAATATAATATACATGGCGTGTAAAATATAAATTATTAAAATATAATTATAGTACGTTTTTACACGTTATAATATCACTAGATTTGATAAAAAAAGGACACAAACTATTTGTTACAAATATAATACTTAATTTTGCTGCGCTTGTTGTTCAATTTTACTGTATTCCTCTTTTTCAAGTTGTTCTCGCGTTAACAATGAAAATCCTAATTGGTTTTCACGGGTGAACGGTTGTGCCATTTGTCGTAACCAACGTTTACTTATCTGAAAATTATATTCAAATAATAACTTAGAGTTTTGAATTAATTAAATTGTAATCAACTGGAATCAAAACTTACCTGTACAGCTTCTTCTGTGGACAAGTTGCACAAATTATCTGTTAAATGCTCCTGTATCCATTTTGGTAATTTACTTCGTTTATCTATCCTTGAAAATCTCTAAAAAAAATTAATATTTTGAGAAAATTTATTGTTAATTTAATAAATACAGTTTATAATAATTAATACTACCTTATCTGCAAATACCATTATACCATAATCGGTTTTTCCTCTAATTGCTCGTCCAACACATTGTGCTGCATGTCTCATTGCGTCAAATGTTAGAAAATCATTTTCTCTAATCTGAAAAAAATCGTATGAACAGTTTTAGTAGAATAAATTAATATATTTTGTAATTTAAATTGCTACATATTTACTTACTTGAAATTGATCACGAAGATATTCTAAACGTGCTTTTAAAATACGTGATTGTGTATATACATAAGGAATTCCAAACATCAGAACAGCTCTTCCTAAATGATGATCAAAATCTACACCTTCTGATACTTTCCCACGTGCTACTGAAAGAAGAACAGCACCTCTTCCACTTTCACAAGCCTTTATATAATTAATAAGTGCTAAACTCGTTTCTGCAGAATCTTGAGTTTCAATAAATAATAATTTATGCCTCTGAAGTTGGTCTACAACACCTTGGTCATACCTACAAAAATAGGATACAAACATTTAATTGGACTTTTAATCAATACAAATTAATTGAGCTAATACAGACCATGCAGCCACAACAGATTCCATGTACAAATACGAGGTAAAAAAGCAAACTAATCCATCGGGAACAGTAGATGCAAACTCAACTAATAATTGACCATAATTTCTTATAACAGCAACATCCTCCCTTGTTTCATATCTTGATGAAATTGCAACTTGATCATTACCTTTCGATACAATCTAGTATTAAAAGTATTATTTTTTAGTAATTGTACAATTACCAATTAAAAAAAAGGGTTACTAAACTTACCATAGGTAGAAGACATGGTCTAGCTAATGTCATTGTAAAAGATGACATTATAACTGGATGAAAATTCAATATTTTAGGGTACATATCTAAAGGAGACAATGTTCCTGAAGTAATCACTACAGATTGAAACCTATCGAATACAGGTTTCATTGCGATTGATGAATCTAAGCAACTAAACTGAAGAATTGGATTCAAGACCGTCGGTGTTTTATCATCATAAGGTTCTACAATAATGGTAAATCCTTTTGTATATGTTGAAACTAGTGTTGCAAGATGTGTCACCAAAATTATTGGTGAAAAATCAGTTAAATCAGTTATCTCCATAGTACGTAAGAGCGACGCCAATCGTTCAGCACAAAACCTTAAAGGTTTACGTTCTATTGAAACTTTTGATTGTATATCTCTTAAAAATGCAGCAGGTGATTCTTGCATTACGTGTTGTACGCGCAAACGTGTTTTTAAATATTCTACAAATCGTTTTAAAAAACTAACGAAGTGTTCTGCATTTCTTATGTTACCGGGAACCACCTCTAAAACATTATAAAAAATAAATTAAAATTATAATTTTTTTATCGTTTATAATATTAAAAATTTACCATTTAAAACTTCATTTGGTAAAACAGGATTAGATAAAATAATATCAGTCTCTCTTGCCACTTGTGCATCCTTTAATCCCTCTACTAATCTCTCATATTCTTCCTTTAATTTATTTACATCATCTTCTCTCATCCTATATCATAAATGTTAATAATTATTATGGAAAGCACATTTATACATCCAACGAAAATTCACTTACTCTGCTACTGTCTTCTCAAGGAGCTGTATGTTACCAGAACTTCTCTCCAATAGTCTCCTGTTTATTTTTACACTCATCGAATCAATACATACATTATCTACAAGAAATTAAGAAATTAAAATTTCTTTTTAAAATATAAAATTTTAAATTTTAAATTTTAAAATTTTTAATTTTATCTGTATATAAGTAATGTGATATAATATACCTATATTATGAGCTTCGTCAAATACTACAACAGAAGATTTACTTAATTCTTTTGATACAGTTTCAGCAATTTTTGGATCTAACAAATAATGGTAACTGTACACTACAATTTGAGCATGTAATATCTAGAACAAAATACAAAAATTAATTTTTTGAATTGCCATGAAGTCTGAAATGTATTTTTAGAAATGCTTACTGTAAACCTTGCAAGAAAGTATGGACACCAATTACGATCTCTTCCATATTCCTTTAAATCATCAATTGAATATATACCAGGAGGCACAATCTGTTCTTTACCTTCCATGTCAAATCCTTCATAGAAATTACAGATGGGAGTGGTTTCATCATAATTATGTCTTTCACGAATGTATGATGCTGTTAGAGAATGGCAACGTCCATCAACAATTTTACCTTCCCGCTCTCTGCTTACCTGTTGAAATGTATTATTGACACATATATATACATAACATTCAGTAACAGTTATTGCACACTACATTTCTTAATCTTTTAGTTTAACTTCCAAATTTAAACAAACTTCAAAATTACAAATAACAAAAGCACAGAAAATAACTTTAAGATAAATTACCTCAGGATGAATACACATATTTTTTCTAGAACTAAGCACCAAGCCAACAATCTTAGGTTTACTTTCAGTTTCTTTTTCGTAGTAGTCAATAAGCTTCTTTAACTCTTCAATAACTTTCTCGATTTCTGGCACAGTACGGGAACAATAAATTAATTTTGTTATATCTAATGGATTTTCCAACATATAAGCTACAATTAACGATAATAGAGTAATAGTTTTGCCAGTGCCTGACGGCATTTCCAATAAACAGTGGCCCTATAAATCATCATAAACATAATATAAACGTCACCAACAATTCCAATGTAGAAGTATATGAGATAAATACTTTTGCATCCAGGCCTCGTTTGAGTTCAAGCATATATGCATATTGTTCTGGATAAATATAATCATAAGGAAAATATACTAGTAAACCGTCAACACTGATTCTGAAAACAAATTAGTCATGAAATTGTATTTCAGAAAATTTAAGTTTCATTAAATGACTGTTCTTATTTACTTCATATTTTGATGTCCTGTACTACATAAATATAGATCTTATTAACAACAATATCATTCATTCGTTAATGTAATAACTGTGATACATTTAACATTAGGTTACAGCTACAACATTACTCGAACCACAACGCATGAAAGCAAATGCCCAGGTTATGTTTCATGGCCCGGTAGAAACACGCTGTGTTCCTAAAATAACATTTTTCTTCACGTATTAAAATACAAAGGTCATAGACTTTATTCACAAAAAATAAATATATAAATAAAAAGAAATATTCGTTTATAATAATACACAGCAATTTTATTGAATATATTTTAAAGATTAAATAATCAATTTAAATGTGATTATAGTGAAATTCGTTTTTTGGTAATCGATTCGAACAAATCGATACAAACTGTATTCGATACAACAGCCTAAACCGGAAGACGATGTTTGAAAACCTCGATAATTTCCGTGAACGTTTGGCGTCCAACATACACGTGCATGGAGAGTTAAAGTAATAATTCTATTAAGTATAAACATTTAGTCGTGTAAAATATAAAATGGGAAAACCAGGTAACTGTTATTTTCTTCTTTATTATACGTTTCATTCGATTTATTGTGAAATAAAATTATGCGATATTGATACACGAGATCCGGTAACTTAAAGCGTAAATAATTATCTTTATATTAATATGATGTATGTATGTTATACACATTACATATGTACGTTCATTTTACTATAATAAATCAATTTTTATTAATAGGCATGTATTATTAAGTCAGATAAATAATGATTTTCACGTTTTCATTAATGGTATTCTAACCTAATTTTAAGCGGATTAAGCTTCCAGAAAATGAAAAATATATATTATATATCATACAGATGCTCGAAAAATTATTCTATATTATTTATTAAATTATAATATTTGTTGAATTGCAGGATTTTCACCAGGTGGAGGTGGAGGTGGATTTGGTGGTGGATTTAGGGGTGGCAGAGGGGGTGGTCGTGGAGGTGGAGGTGGTGGAGGTGGATT